ATATATATATTCATTTCATTCGTTGCAATGATCAGTGTCCTACTTAAGCACAAATAATCGTAAAACATCATGTTCAATTACCCTGTTACTGTTGTTCAAATTGTTTGATTCGGAAAGTTGGTTGCAGTGTTTTAGTTTCTTAGTGTCAACTGTGCGCTTTTTCCACAAGCTTGACGTCGAATATTAATCATTCATAAAAATACAAATCGGCGGGAACGGAATAGGTTCCTCCCCTTCCCCAAGTGTATGTTATTCATGAGACACGTACAACAGCAAACCGATCGCTTACATACTGTTAACACTGTCTGCCTGTCGAAATCCCGTGACCCTTCAACAGAGAAAGTTATTTTCAAGAAGTGTCCGGTGAAACACAATGATTGTTATAACATTTATTAGTATTCTGCCATGCCGACAGTTACGTCTTTTGTCCTATGCTCTCTATGTGTATATCTCCGTGTTTTGGTTGTCTGCGTGATGTTATGACCGAGTCAATGGCTGCTTGGAAATCCAGTATTTTTTCTTTTTCTTTCTTTCTTTTTTCTTTTTAATTTTACTTCCTTTTTATTGAATACGCAATGATACAATTTTCAGGAAGGGGGAAGCGGCCAACCAAAAGGGCTGCCATGGGGAAAGTTAGGCGGTGATGGTGGGGTTCGAACACACATCCCCCGAGGTGATAATTTGGTGACGTTACCACCGGACCACCATCGCCCTGATGCGTTTTCGCAATAAAACTCGATTGATCACATGTTTACCGTTCGAAATTATACTGAATGAGTTATTATTCACCAACGGACTTACGAAGGCCATTTAAGTCACTACTTTTTAATTAAAGGATTTTTTAATGGTCGTTAAAGTTGTTTCCTTTGGGAATACATTTTACATCAACTACAGATGGCCAATTGTCATATTCATCTGATAAAACTCAACTTCAGAACTTCAAGTGGCCAATTACAGCCCATTCTTTATTTCGGGTAGTAACGCAGAGATGGAAAAATAACATTTGGAGTATGTGCACAATTTAGAGTTGGGACGTAACAGCGTGAACACAGCGCAAGATCGCGATAATAAATTATAGATTTTGCAGTTGACTGGAATAGTAGGTGGAAGCACTTGGAACAAGTCTCCTTGAGAGGATAAGGTATGTCACGAACTGTTTCTTTCCACGCGGTGGATTTTTGATTCTTCCCGTTATCATCTCTGTTGCATATAACACTCGAACTTTGACATCCTCATACCGCATTCTGTCATTGGATATATATGTCATATATTTACCACCTGATAGATTGGACGGAACGGTTCCCGCACACCCGTCCCCTGAGTTGTTTCAGACAAATGTATAACGACCGCGCTCGAACCTAGCCTTAAACAGTAACAAGTTGATTTTTCTGTCTACCTAACTTGTTCCTGGAATTATATAGTGTGCTGTTTTTGACCAGTAAATAAAGTAGCACATTGTTGTTTTATTCATTTAATTTGTCAAAATTATTTATTCAGAGCTCCACTTCGTTATTCGGTTAGATCATGCTTAATGAAGCAGGTAATGAACGACATATGTGTCTCTACGTATGCGTCAGTTTCAGGTTGTCTCAACTGTTAACCTGACACTTTCGTGCGGCATGCATTAGTTTATCGTGGGTTTTAGGAGAAAAGAGAAGTATTTTTACATTTGTTTTTTTGTTGGCATTATCATATTTTATTTTTGTGAAACTTACGCTCCAGACAATCGAAACAGCATTGTGGATCCTCGACCCGGCATTGTTTGTTCATTGCGCGACCTGGACGATGTTTTATTCAAGGATGTTGGTGATCGGTTGGCATCAACAGAAAAGTAGGTACCATATCTATAACGATGTTGGTCATGCTCATAGATGGCCCCTGGTAGTTGATCCAACCGATCAGGCTTCCACCTTTCTGCGCTATCGTGATACAAATTATTTGAACGTGCTCAACCCTAAACAAATGCATTCAGAAACGTGAGTCTCAGCGAATTCCAAGTATTATTTTCCCCTTCAAGGCCAACATCATGCGCTCTTTATGTGATTCGACTGGTTCTTGTAGAATCGTTCGTTATTTTTTTAGGGAATTTTTAGAATCTCTAGACCTTGCCACACTGGTTCAGCCCTGAAATTCGTGCGATTCGCGTGGCAATCAAGATCTTTTAGAATTCAGACTAACCACATCGGTTATTTGGTTATTGAGTCTTGATGTTGGTAACATACGACCCATCTGGTAGATGTTAGCTTACGTGCATAAACAAAAATATCGCTCACGGGGATTTTGTAGACCCGGAAACTTTTGCTAGATGTGGCCTGCATAAAACATGTTTTATCTAAGGGCGATCGCTTTCACAGCTCCATATGCGCTATGATAGCCTACGAAAAATGAAAGACAAAAACAAATATGCGTAGGACAATGAAAAAGCCACAGTACCACTCTTAACTGACATTTCAACTGACCGGTAGGCATGGCTATGTTCTGTTGCTCAATCACTGGTTTCGATCAATAATTTTGCAATCNATGCGCTCGTGTGACCATATGTTACGCATTATACCGGTAATGGAGTCTACGAGGTCATCGACCCCCCCCAATCTTGAAAAGAGTAGGGGAAGCCTGTCCAGTACAAAGCTGCATCCAATCATAAGTTGACAGTTTCGTGCAGCAAATTTCAGAGAAACACATTTCTACCTCCATTCTACCTGAAACTGGTTGCTTCTTGTTTTGTTGCCCTTGTGTTCTCTCAACCTACGGTTGCATGTGAACCGTATCTGCAACGATTGGATTGTATATCTGACAGGCCTTTGGTTGTCCGTTTTTCCTTTTTGTGAACATTGATTGTCAAATTAGTCATTCAATTTCCATCGATATTCATTTCTTTTTTATCTTAATACGTCATGCAGGATACGCATTGCTCTGCTCGGTGCGTTGCGTTACGGAAAACCGGTTGTGTTGGATTTGATGGACCTGGACAATACACTGGACACCATTTGTCGTCGTGCGTTCGAATCGATCAAGAACACACTGCTAGAAGATATTATTGGCAAGCGTATCACTAATCCGTTTGTGTAAGTTTGATATTTCACGATGGTCGATCAAATAAATTCTGATGCAAATTTCGTCGCCGTATTTTTGACCACCTATATTGTAATATATATATATATATATATTCATTTCATTCGTTGCAATGATCAGTGTCCTACTTAAGCACAAATAATCGTAAAACATCATGTTCAATTACCCTGTTACTGTTGTTCAAATTGTTTGATTCGGAAAGTTGGTTGCAGTGTTTTAGTTTCTTAGTGTCAACTGTGCGCTTTTTCCACAAGCTTGACGTCGAATATTAATCATTCATAAAAATACAAATCGGCGGGAACGGAATAGGTTCCTCCCCTTCCCCAAGTGTATGTTATTCATGAGACACGTACAACAGCAAACCGATCGCTTACATACTGTTAACACTGTCTATCACTAGGAGAATGCGCCTTGACGTGGTCTGATGACTTGTGCACCTCTGTGACCCAACGAGTATTCCGTGCTCTCTTCGCAGGTGCTGGGCAAGGCTGGATAAAAAACGGCGCGGCGGTCAGACCATGGCATGGGCTAGAGGCATGAAGAAGCTAGCTTCAGCTTTGGCTCCGGTTGGTGCAGCCCACCTTCCAAGTTGGGGCCCAAGAGATGAGGATTGTGGTTGGTTAGAGACGCTGAGAGATATGGTCGAGAATAAAAGTCAGTGGCGCTGCCTGTCGAAATCTCGTGCTCCGAAAAAAAAACAGAAAAAATTATCAAGAGATGTACGGTGAAACACAAAAAGGTTTTATTATTCGAGATATCTTCCATTTTCCCGTGTTTAACTGTTTCGCTCTGTTCTGTACTCCAATCCACCTGTCTCCTTTCATTTTCTATTGTAATTATTGTTTTTGC